CAGTGGCAACACCTGTGTGTAGTAGGCTTGGAATAGTAGCCAAAAAAAGATCTACAAATCCACACCCGTAGGTGGGATTGCAAAGCATCTTTGCAGTTCTTGAACGGACATCTGGGATGTTGGTGACAATTTGTACGTGTTCGTAGCGTCAATCCCCAGGTCCGTATATCCCAACCAACCATGATCAGAACTAAATGTGAGAATCGTGTGTATGTATAGGTGCGTCTTCAAATCAAGGCCCGAAGAAGGGATTGATCTTATTTGCTTTAATAATGGTTCTTTGGTCTGCTATGCACGTATACTGAACATGCATCATGTCATCAGTGCTGGTGCATCAATCTTGGAACCCAAATTCACAGCGAGTGGCATCCAGGGGGGTCCACTGAGCAAATGCAAATGCCTCGAAGGTCCTTTCCTCAGACAGAGCTGAGTTGCCCTGGCTGCATCTCAGTCGACGTTGGATCGATTTGGCATCCGGCGGCAGTACAACAGAAGAATCCAGATTGCTACATGAATTGATTCAACGCACTTACATTTCTTTACACAGCGATCCAAGAAACCGGATGGGGTTTTGAAACGACAAGAGTTTGGAGTACCTCCCACTCCATTTGCAACCTCAAGTGGGTGTGGCCACTGCTCTGTAGATCTCTATTGTATACCATCGTAAACCCACCACAGTTGTATAGTGTTGTATATGAACATCATTGAATGTCTATTGTCCGGCCTGTTTCTGTGCTTTTGGGCTTGCTTTGCCGGGATCCTGCAAAAGCCATGGACCAAGAGATCCAAAGAGCAGTTTCCCTACAACTTTCAATTCTAGTAGCGATGCCCTTATTAATAGTAGCTTCTTGTTCCTAGTAGTAATGCCAGGAGTCCAGGAGCTACTAGTAACTAGTAGCTTCTTGATGCTTCTTGTTACTAGTAGCGATTGCGATGCCCTTTGTTACTAGTAGCTCCTTCCTTCCTTCCTTCCTTCCTTCTTTCCCCGTTGTTCTTCCAAGCTGCGTCCCTTCAAATCCTCCGGGCCCGGCTGCCAGTGCGCCGGCGGCAAACACCGGTAGACCGCCTCGCTGAACTCCCGGGTGATCACGCCGTGCCTGGTTTTGTGTCTCAGCCGGGTGATTCATGATGATTCATGAGTCATTGAAAGTCGTGAAAACAAAAACTGGTCATTTGCAAAGTTTGATGACCGTTCCTCCAAGAAGTGTCGTGATTAATACCGTGGACATGCGTGGAGCTTTAACAGCGAGCATGTTCTTTTGGGGGAGGGAACTTCATGGTCCTGGGAACATTGAGGTTTCTCAAATGACAACATATACACACACCTGACCCTGATGCGCAAATCATCAAATAATGGGCTTCATATGGCTTCATGGGTTTGGTGTTTTGTCGTTGTTCCGGCACTCGTTTGGGCAACCCCTGTTCCTGTGTAGTTGCCAACGGTCTGGCTCGTGAAACACCTGAAGACTCAGGGAGAATCCCGAGTGTCGCGTGTCGACATATTTCGCTGGATGAAGTACAGTACCGCATCATCGCTGGGCGTGCTGCGACGCCCAGCGATGATGATGTCCGCTTCCAGTGTGCTGCGACGTTCGAGTGTTCTGCGACGGGCGTCAGCTCCACAGTGCACCGCTGTGGATAGGCACAAACGACATGTGTCTGAAAAGGAGAGGCACAAACGAGTTCATCAAGGAACTGGTCAAAAAGAAATATGCGGTCTCCTCACAACCTAAGTAAGGGTGTGCCGGCTGAGCAAGTTGCATGGACTAAAGCTGAGACAGAGTCGAGTCACTCATGGAGGATGACCATGCTCTCGACATTACGATCGCCCACGTCTCCCAGAATCTTCGTCCAATGTCCTCCGCGCGAGAACTGAGCAACACCGAGCAGGAGGGGGGGGCTCTTTGATGGTCCCAAACCCTTGCTACCATGGTGAACATGATCATGTCAACATATATCCTAAATATCAAAATAGCATAAAAAACTATCGGACAACACCCATACTGGTTACTAATCAACTAACCAAGAACTCATTCACTGTCTACTATCAGCAAAAATGTTTAAGTTAAATGAACATGAACAAAAGGATACAAAAGGGATTCTTGGAAGTTTCCATTTCCGCATGTTTTGAGCTTGATCCATGCCTACGGTTCGTGGACAGATTGCCACCTGGAATACACCGCAACCTGTCAGGCAGATTTGGTGGTACAGCCATTCCTCTAATCACAGCTCTGCGATGAACAAGTTCTCCTAGACCACCTCAACCAGGAAACTTCTGATGTATTTAAGTTGCACCAGATCAGATCCGCACTAAGGATCCAAGGACCTCTTTTGCCGCAAAACGTGGCGTCCATGGATCAACAAAACCACGATGCCCGCTGCCGGTGTCCTGAAGGATAGTGGCTAAAGCGATCCCAGCCGTCCAAATTCACCACGATCCGCTTGTTCCTCAGCTGAAAAAACGGGGTGTGAATGGATGCGAACGGATGAGAGCAGAATTGGCGATCTTGCATAGCTGGGTATCTTTCAGCCTATTTGCAGGATGTTTGCAGCAGCTAGTGCTCCGTCTTGCAGTCATATCCTGGAGTAGATACAGATGATATTATGGCAACGAAGGTCAGCGCATGTCAGCGCAAATGTTGTTACTATCTCCACACCTGAAGGACAAAGTTCAGGGAATCCAGCACATGCGTCGTTTCTGCGGCGGATGGATTCCCTCATCTCTCTATTCTCGCGGACGAGTTTGAGCCGTAAATGTCAAAACATCACTTCTGAACAAGGAATCAAGCTGTGTCCCGTGCAGGTAGCAACCATCAGTAACCACTTTCACTCATTTGCGGGGTCATTTTGATCATTATGGATCTCATCAGCATGTGTCGACTCAGTCACTTGATCCGAGGTGCTCAAGGTTGGCGGAGTGCCGGGTCTGGATCATGATATTGGGCAGCCGAGCCTCGATTGTTCCAGTGGCAGTTCTCGTTCCGTTCGGCTTCACAGAATTCAAGTTTCTCTGGTCAAGTTAGACAGGGCACCAATGGGTTGACTTGGTTCCTGAGAGATGCCGGTGACAGACCCATCACATCTCATGACCGACGCACCAGCCCCGTCCAGTCGTCTTTCGCGTTCCATTCGTCCACCGAGTCCCTCCACAGTTCTGCGCTGGGCCGAACGAGGGGCATCCGTCGGGATGAAGACACGATCTGATTTGTTGTAGACCTGGCCGGGCGACTGCATTGACTGTAGGGCAGAATCGTCTGGTAGGAGGGGGGCATTACTTGTGAAGATCCTATAAATCCCTTGCATGCCTCGATCGAGATGATTTGGGTATATCAAAAGTCCATCAATCCCGGTGTGTGAAACAGGTAGACATACATCGTTTAGTTTCGATTTAGCCAGCACATGGCTGGAAGAAATCTGTTTCCTTCCCTTCAGCCTTCAGTTGCTGTAGATTGTGCCTCACCTCAAACCTATCTTGATACAAAGCCGCCAAATGTACGATTCAGCAGAAAGAACTCAGGAATTGACAGTCAACCAGCACCAGGATGTCACACCGATTGCATCGAAGCCGGCCCGGACCAAAAGGACGGACCGGACCGGGTCCCGGTCCTGGCAAACGAAACGTCTCCCAGGAAGCTGGTTTGAGCTTCCAGTGGTGTGAGCTTCTAATGGTTTCAACAAGAAGGGTTGGACACTTTGAAATGTCTTTCAGAGACAGTAACAAAGAAGCTACTAGGAACAAGAGCATCGCTTCTAGTAACGAGTGCCTTACTAGTAGTAACAAGAAGTGTTTGTTTGGGAAATGCTTTTGGCATCTTTCAACACACCGTCCGCATCTTCCGCAGTTTCGGCACCTCAGGGCCCGCTTCCCGGCGGCGTTCCGCGTGCAACGGCCGCAAGGTGCCGCAGTACTCGCCTCGTGCAGCGAGAGCCCTGGTCGTCTCTTCCCGACCAGCTGTCGCGAACTGGAGACTGTATCTGGTTGAGGTAGTCACTATAGTCAAGTTGGCCTGGCCTAAAAAAAAGGTATATTCAAGAAACAATATTTAAGAAAAACAACAAAATGTTCATAGTGAAACTCGAGCAGCTGTGTGTGTGCGTGTTGCACAACTTGAAATGGCAAAGGCAATGGATCACATTATGGCTTTGTGGGTGAAAAGCAGGGTCTCATTTGGAGGCATTAATGGCATGACCAGTACAAACCAGGGCACATGACTGGCGGCAAACACCCTCGCCAAATCTGTGGTCTGGTGGCTGGCTGGTGGTTACTCATGTGCGGCAATCGGCACTCGTATGAAAGATGAACCAACATATTTTGCAATGACCGCAGAGGAACACATGAGATCAGCTGACATTGTTCTTTCACTACTGATCATAGGATGTCATAGGCACATGCATGTGTCACCGTGACACACCACCGGGGCTTCATCACCTAATGAAACCAAATACGACTTGCTCTCTTGCGCGGCGTCAAACGGGGCACAGCCGTTTCGCCCGGTGTCGCCCGTCGCACCGGGTCCCGGGTTCGCCGCCGGGGTGCGCCAGTTTCGCTTGAGGATTCCCACCACACGCCCTTTGGGGCGGTCGCTGGAGGTCGTACCCATCGTGGTCTCCTTGATGGTATCCTGAGCAACAAAAACGGTCCACAACCAATGTGGATTCCATCCTCATATCGCTCCACCCTCAGGCCTGCTCTTGATCCAACGGGAAGAATCCTAAAAAATAACTGTCTGACACCGAAGGCTCGTGCTCCGAACACATCCCAAGGCTCCGTGGTGCTCGGAGCCTTCTCCGTGACCCCAAAGTCTCCATCGGCCACCTCGCGCCGCAGCCGCTTGTCCGCCCGTTCCAGCGCCTGACCGGGGACGGTGGATGCGGGAATTTCCAAGGTGTGGCGTGGTGTCCGACGTGGTGTGGCGTGGTGCGATTTCTGCTACAGGTTTTGCATGAAATTGCTTTTGCTAAACATGCTAAGCTGTTTGCATTGATGGGATTGAAGGTTGAAGTTTGGAGCGTTCGGATTGGATCTGTCTTGAGACTGGAATTCGGATCGTTCCTTTGCTTCTTGGAGAGCCCAGGAAAGGCTTTCCAATCCCCGAAGCCACGCTTCGGCGCCGCACGTCCACCTCCACGTCCTCCAGTTTCTCGACGACCACCACGTCGCCGTCGATGGCACGGTTCAGAGCCTCACCAGCCGATAGCTCCACCGTTCATGCCAGTTCCGTCGATGGGCAATGTCACACCATGTCACAGCCACCTGATCACCTGTATCATCCTGTATCTTTTTTCTGAACCAGTTCGCAAGCGGGGAAACTGTTTGGAACTGGGGGAGTGTGTAGACATGTATAGAATGTAGCACCCCTACATTAAGTAGGCAACTTGTCGACGGATCTAGTTGTTCTACACTTGTGCACATCTCGGTTTATAGGAAGTGACCTATCTGCTTCGCTCGTCCCTCAAAACCGCGGACCAATGACCAAAACTGAACAAACACATGTCCCTCCGTGTATTGTTTCTTTATGTACCTTCATGTGAGTCACATCATGCGAGCATTACTAGATCCTCACTAAATCAAAAAAGGATGCGTAAGCGTCGTTAAATGCCAATGGATTCAATGGGTAGGCAAAAAAAAGAGGTCCAGCTTGGCTTGGTCCTTCTTTTCGGCTGTGTCACGATACTACCGACATGTTTCAAGCACGTGCAACGCCAACAGAATACATCATCCTGAGGCTTGGAAGCAGTCCGACACTCTTCGCTGTCTGACATGCTCGGTCAAGCCGTCCGAACCCCAAACAGCTACCTTTCGTCTGAAACAGTTCATCTGTCTGTGGCTCATTGCAGCCAAAAGATCACCCCGAAATAGCCCCCTGTTTGGGTCTCCAGCATTCCCAGTGCATGGCAAAGTGCTTCTTGGTCACACCATCCACAATTCACCAAACAAACATCCACGTGCCACCTACGCTACCTACCACCACCCCGTTCGGGTGTCCCTCTTCACTCAGGGACCAGTTCGTCCCAAGGCCGAGCAGCCAGCCGCCCAGAGACTTCAATCTCTTCCTGAAAACCCACGGGTACGGGTGCCCACAGTGCCCTGGTGCCATGCATCAACTGGTATCGTGGCCATTGCCCTGCCAACGTCAACTTTCTCATTCGAGCAACAAACATATCAAGATCAAACAATTCACGGTTTTAAGGCTAAGGTATTTGAAGACCATCTCTTCGGTCAATTCCAAGGGAATCCATGAACCACAAACGTGCTGATCTTGAGAACATAGTTCCTCAAAAGCAGGGTTCCAAAATGTTCCAACGTGAAGCAACCCTAAAGCTAGGCTGAACAGGTTAATTTCTTGCATCCTTGCAACAACTATACACTGAGAAAGATGGTGAGCACACAAGCCTTACGGAAGAAACGCTCGCGCGGCTGATCAGGGAAAAGATGTGGGATATAGTTACAATTACTAAAATGTTGATATATAAATTGTCCAAAATGTGAGAAGCGTTCACCGAGATCTGGAATTTCTGCCATCTGCTCACGTCAGTCGCCATCATATACCGCTAATTTCCTGTGGATATGTTTTGCTGTGTGAAGAACCAATCGGCTTCGCTAGCTGGGATGTCTACAGGATCCACAGGATGGGAACTATCGATTACACCAAGACCTGTCGGCTGTAGGACCTCGCATTGTCATATCCAACATTGAAACTGAAGTGGTTTGGGATTCTCCTAGCAACAAAGGGCATCGCTACTAGGAGCAAGGACGCTACTAGTAGCTCCTGGCATTTACAACTAGGAACAAGAAGCTACTAGTAACCAGGGCATCGCAAAGAGAAAACAGGAGCTACTAGTAGCGTCCTTGTTACTGGTAGCGATGTACTAGTAGCGCTGCCAGGAGCTACTACTAGCGTCCTTGTATGGTTTGGGATTCTGCTTTCAACCTCAAAGGTGTAGAGATACTAACCCACAAAAACACGACCGACTCGACCGAGCATTCAGCCAACCAATTGTAACCAATCTCTCATGCCCAGCTTCGCTGCCGGCGCAGGTCACCGTGCCATGCATACAGGTGTTCCTCGGTCTCTCCGTGCGCGGCTTGGGCGCTCGGCCGAGTGGACGGACCCTGGACGGACCCTGGCAACTTGGACATCATAGCTAAGTTAAAAAGACGCTCAAGCCGGGGGGTCTTTTCAGCCTAGCTTTCGCCGCCTTTCGTGGCTCTTCAGGGATGGCGGAAAACATTGATGCCACGTGCGCAGCTCATGACAGATGGCAAAAAACAATCGTGTCCCACCTCAGCCTATCCCACAACATTCCAAACTTCAGCATATCTACGTACGTCTGAAAAGGCTACTGCCGATGCTCCAGCAGGTGCCTACTTGAATCGACGGCACACTCTGCTTCAGCAAAGGCATGAACTTCTGAATTTTGTCTGAAAGCCATCTGGAAGAGACATCTTTGTTGAACCGCACTTTCAAGAAAGCCTTTCGCACGGACTCACATTGTCTCGTTCCTGCTCCTAGTAGCAAGGCCAGGAGCCCCTAGTAGCGCCCTTGCTCCTAGTAGCGATGCCAGGAGCAACTAGTAGCTTCTTGCTCCCAGTAGTAAGGCCAGGAGCCCCTAGTAGCGTCCTCGCTCCTAGTAGCGATGCCAGGAGCCCCTAGTGGGTTCTTGCTCTTAGTAGTGAGGCCAGGAGCCCCTAGTAGCGCCCTTGCTCCTAGTAGCGATGCCAGGAGCCCCTAGTAGCTTCTTGTTCCTAGTAGTAAGGCCAGGAGCCCCTAGTAGCGTCCTTTCAACCAATATTTGCCTCAGTGACCACCACTTGGTGATTTGGGCCACCTATAGACACCTGAGAACTAGTGAAGAGCGATGACGGAGACGTTGGGTGGTGGTGATGACAACTCTGTCTGGCTAGACATATCAAAGTGCAACCTCAAGTAAGTACAGTATACTATATTGCTATTTGCAGTAATAGTTTGACATCATACAAGCTTCAACCATTTTGTCACTGCAGCTCTCTCAAGATTGTGTATTGGAATCGAGAGTAATCAATGTGTCAAACAAAACCAAGGCTAGGAAGCAAGAACCTATCCACTTTGACTTTTTGCGATCGATGGCAATCCGCCCCCTCCAGTTTCATGGGAGTTTTTCCGCTCACGAACTAAACGATGGAGCATGATGTCCTATTAGTCCAAAGGAAAAGCAAGGAAAGCACCTGCCATTTCATTCACCCAAACAAAGATGCCGTGAAGTTAGCACAGTGCGTGCTCCCCTGAAAGGCCACAAAGCCCCAGTGTAGGACTCTTTTGGGGGTCAAATGTTGAAACCATTGCTATCCTCTGGTGGGTGAATTCTTTCTTGAATGAACCATCTATATATGTATATATCATACATATATAAGATATATATATATATAACAAGTTAGACAATTTCAATTATATAGTTAATATATTTGTACACACATGATCCAAGCCTGCCAAACCCACCTGAACCGAATCCCAGCATCATGTGCATCCGCAAGAGGCCTTGAAAGAGCCGCCGCTCCTTCAAGCCTTGCTCCACCTCACCTCAACTACTAGGAACAAGTGCATCGCTTCTAGTAACAAGTGCCACTCTAGTACTAACAAGTGCCTTACTACTAGGAACAAGAAGCTATTAGGAACAAGGACGCTAGGTTCCAAGAATCGATCACCCACAGCTTCACCGGTGGGAGACAACTGAGGGGGTCAAGCGGCAAGCGACTTCCTTTCATATGGATGTCGGATGTGACTCAAAAAAAAATTATGTGGGTTCTAGATGTCATGCATTTTTCAGAAGTCAGCCACAACGTTCCACAACGTTCCACACAATCGTTCGAGCCAAGCCAAGTGACTTCCTTTCAGATGCGCTGGATAGACCGAGCCATCTGTGGAGTTAATCAAGCTCTTTCGCTTCTGCGCACCCCCCCGCGGCGTCGCCGTGGCTGGCTTTTCGGCGTCCTCGTCGTCGCGCAGCGCCAACTTTTCGCCGGCCTTACAGGGAAGAAAGGTGGGCAGTGGGTAGTGAGGGTTGGAGCTTGCTTGGAGCTCGGTTTGCCAAGGGCGCACCACATGTACAACACATCATGAAAAGTGTGAAATCTCCCAAGGAACTGTTTGTATGCCACGGTGATGTTTTACATTCTTTTACGCTTTCCCTATAAAAATCGAAACCCATGTCATTTCCCCAAACCCTCCTTCTCTTGCGGGCACCCAAGAACTCCAAGTGTCTGTGGCCTCACCTGCAATTACAAACTACCTGTCAGCCCTGCACAACAGAATGGTAATCTGGCCCCATCTCCACATCAAAGCAGGCCCACGCTCAACCCCAACCCCTCCCCTGAAAAAAGAAAAAACAACGCACACACAACTGATACTTTCCACCCTCACCCGGTCGAAACCAAACACAACGGGCGGATGCCTCTGGGAACTTCGGCCGCATGCGCTCGATGAACTCCGCGGCCCGCAGCGCCGTGAGGCCGTCGTCCACGGCCTTGGCCTTGCAGGCCTTGTCGTCCGTGAGCAACAACACCTGTCGGTGGATCCGATGGGTCCACCACATGGTTCACATGACCACATAACTTCATCATGACTTCATTCTCTACTTCAATCAACCGCAGATCGTAGCTTGAAATTGCACTCAATATGATACTCTTCATGATTGATGTCTCTCCATCTGTGCAGGCTTGACATGTTCTTTAAGGTCCACCAATACTATACGTAGTAATCTCCAGTTCTCCGGGGGGAGTTCTCGACAAAGCATTGATCAAATTTGATCAGAACACATTACAAAACGAGTTCTAAAACATGTTCTTAAGACTGCTCTTTTTTGTTTGCTTTCTGATCTCAAAACGATTGAAGCTTCCGGTGCTTCACTGCACCCGCCACTCGTCGCCCTGCACTCCGCCTCAGGCCCCACGATGTGGCGTCGGTACCAGTGCGCCACCCGGCGGATGGCCCGGTCGTTGCGGTCGTTCTGGGATTCCTGAAGCAAGCACCACAAGCAAGACATATTGGGATGGATGATGTGAAGGATTTTTTGGATTAAACATAATTAAACCTGAATTTATCTTGACTCTAGGTGCATAGACCATGGGCTCTGCATTTTGCCCACAGGTTCCAAGTTCAAAGGTGTTCTGGTCACCCTCCTCCCCAAGTCACCTGAGGTAACCGCTCCACATAGGTCTCCCGGAAGAACTCGTTGGGAAACACGTAGAACTTCCGGGCGTTCCGTGCCGAGGCGATGGCCTCCTGTGGCACGGAGACACGAGTTTGGCGCAGTCGCCACCCTACGGAAGGCTCCTACCTTGTATCACCGTTTTACAAGCAGTGTATGTGTAGTTATATATATATATATTACAATCATGGATCACTGGTCAAAGTACGAAGTAGTCACTAGTCCAATTCCAACAAAAAGGTCTGCACGGATGTCCAACCCTTTCAACTTCTCCAACCTCCAGTCTCTCATCTCCCAACCGTCGCTCCTTCGCTCTCTCCCGATCTCCCACACCACGCTTGGCCGTGGACGAGGGCGGCGCGGGCTCTTCGTTGAGCTCCGCCTCGGCGACCTCGTCCTCTTTGGCGTCGCCTGCAGGGCGGCCCCCGTGGAGCGGGGCACTGAGCCGAGGTGACTGCTGCTTCCTTCGGGCTCCTTGGAGCTGAGGTGATTGGCTATGTTTCTCCATCCCCAATCCAGTTGGAATCCATTTCATGACTTGCCCGGAAACAAAGCGAGGCCTGGACCGTGGGGAGCTACCCATGGATCTCTACGGACCATCGCACCTGTCTCCACACGGCACAAAGCGCGCAGGCGTGAGTAGATGCCCATGTTGCGGTGCCGCACTTCTTGCAGAACCGTGTAGGGCACGACGACGTGGTTCACACCTGGCTGTCGCCAGGTGGTGAGTGGGGTAGTGTGCATTGGTGCCCAGTGGTATTGCATAACAAAACAAGTGGCATACAAAGGTTGAACAACCCCAGCACCCTATGGCCTACGATGGCCATGTGCCCTATGCTACGATCACATGTTGGTCTTTTATCCCCTCCGGGTTGAGATGAGTTGATCTCCCCAAGTCGATTGCCAAGAAACACTCATCTTCCGCGATGAGGTCAATCTGATGCAGTACGATGTTTGTGTCCTTGGCGCGTGGAACATCGAAGTGCCGAACCTCCAGTAGCTTCACTTCACAGCACGTAGGTTTCGCACGAGCACCCCTGGCCCAGAATTCCACATTTATATATATAATGTGTATATATATATATGAATTATAGGATACTCTAAATATGTTTTAAAACTATAGATAATCATAGTCCTGTAGTCATCACCTTGGGGCCAACATGTGCCAAGCTCTGACAAAACCAACCACGAATGAACCAGGTAGGCAAGCATCATCCAACCAACCCTCTGACCTTCCATGTTCAAAAACACATGGTTTCGAGTTGTTTCTCATTTAAGATACGCCCAGCGTCCAAGACCAACACTTGGTCCGCTCCATCAAAGGATTCTGGTGTGATGTCATCACGCAAGTAGATCTCCCGCACCACCTGCGTTCTGAGGGAAGGTGTCGTCCATAAAGTATAAGGATGGACATCGCTCTGAGTTCCAATCCACTAGGGCCTCAAAAGCTGTCACCAAACAAAATCAGTTTTATGGGGGGTGTCTCTCAAATGAGGCCACCCTGTTGCCTTTCACGAAATGACTTCCATGAACCTTTGACATTCTGCAGACTTGTTCCAAGTGGTACTCCCTCGTTCTCACCTTGTGCAGAATCAAGGCTGCGCCGCAAGAAGTGAAAAGTTGGGTACCCGGTGATTGGAAGCTCGTGCCACAAACACCCAACCCAACCCCATCCAACTCACCATAGCTAACGCCGAGAAATGGTGCGCGAAACACTACATACACAACGCGCAGGATGGACACGATGCACGCGCCCGTCATGACGACGTGGACGGGTCGACTCGCCTTGCGGATCTTGTTCTGCCTCGTGCGCCTCAACCAGCTGCTGAGCTGCCGGCTGCTGCTGGGCACGTCATCCGCGATGTCGGCTTCAGTGACGTCCATGGGTCCACGGGATAAACCGTTGAGATGAAGTATTCTACTCAAAGGTCCACCGCGGCTAACACTTGGGGTATAACAATACACAACAAATACGATTCAGCAACTAACTCTCGACACGTAAATGTCAGGGGAGGCGTACCCTGAACTAGGGCGAAGCCAGCTCGCGCGGCCACTGTGTCCTGGCTTTGTCCCTGGGTTGCGCCTGCCGGTTCTTAAAGCTGATGTATGTTTGGTAAGTACTGTACTTATCTCGCTTGCCACAAATATTTACATATTGGATAGTAAGTGGCTTACATGGTTAGAACACAGAGTCACTGATGCGTCGTAGTAAGCAAGTGATGGTAAGTATATAGTTGTCATGGAAAAGTCGTATATATATATGTATATATATATATTATACATACAGTACTATATACAGTATATCTTCAGTTACAGAAGTTATGTCTCAAGTTAGGCCACTTCCTAAGTTGTACTAAAACATGCTAAAACTATCCAAAACGGCATATTCGACTGCTAAGCGCCATGAGCCTTTAGGTAGACATCCCTAGACTGCCTATACTTAGGACTTGAGTCATCTGTTCTTACAGTTAGACTGAGGCTTGAGAAGGAACAGCACCTGGTGATTCACTAAAGAGGAACACTTTCCCGTATTGTTTGGATTAGTCGTCGAAAAGGACCTCTTGGAAAGGCTGATGCGATGTATGTTTGTCGATGGCCTTGAGTGTTGGGAAATTGTAGACTTGTGAGTCGTGAGGCTCTTGGAAAGTCTTGGCAAGCTGCAAGCCTTTGCTTTTCTGCACAGAAATCTACCCTGGTTGTCATCTCCATCAGAGCGATTGTGATTCGCACAAGCTGGCAAACAATTAGCATGAAAGCATGTTGGCCCAGGCCCAAGCATGTCCCCAAACAAATACAGTATAGTTGCTTACAGGACATTCTTAGAGTGAATCACATTGGATGATAAAAAGCTCAGCTCAAACGTTGCCCGACTTGTCTCGGTTTGAGGATGTCTCGCTGCGGGAGCGCTCTTTTTCTCTTCCCAACCCTTGGCCCAAAAGATCCCCAAAGTCAATGATGTCTCATTCCTCAAGGCTCCGACATATTGCAACATCACAACACACAACTTGTCTAATTGTTCAATGGGCACAATTAAAAAAGGTACAGTACTCAGTACTCAGACCAATCAAGAAAGCAGCCACCCAGTCATCATCAGTCCTTCTTCGTCGCAGCACTGTCTGACAAACACCATCCACCCCTGATTCTTGGACTTTCTTCCGCCAATCAACACTACTAGACCACCTGCGAGCTGAGATAGGACATTGGACATCAGACCAGTTGGCAACGCGGATCTGGGCTCTTTCTTACCCCCTTGAAGACTGACGTGGACCCTGAAAAAAGTAGAGCCAACTTCAACCGATGTCTAGGAGCAAGCCCACATGGTGCCATCTGGGTCCAGTTACGTCTTCCGACTTCTAGATGGTCCTCTATCTCCAATGCAGCCGGGGAAAGCAACATGCAATTAAAGGACATGAAAAGGGCTGAGTACCAACAAAATACATGAGGATGATGCTGCGTATACGATCACTGTTTTTTCATGCGTAACCACAGCTATTCAATAAAACCACCACAGAATGAAACACTTTACAAATACTTGATCAACAAAGAAAACCTATGCAATCCCACCACCGCCTTTGAAGTCGCTTGAGGTCCAAACCCAATTGAACCCTTCGGCTGCGCAGTGGCCTGTGGCTGCAGTGATTGCTTCACCAGCTGGCCCACGCTTGAGGCCACGGCCTCTCCGGTTGGGGTTAGAAGGCCCGAGGGTTCAAGGCGACAGAAGGCTACAGGTGTTGTTTGTTGTGTCTGTTTGGAATGGGATGTGTTTGTGTTTAAAGTATACGTTGACTTGGCGCCAGGGTGCTACACATTGTTGCCATGGTCAGATTCCGTGATGGGATTCTGGGATTGATTTCAACCTGTGGGTCTACTTCACGCTGACTCCCAACGTAGAGCGTATCTTCTCACCCGGAAAAGCAATGATTGGAATGCGGGTGCTCTCAATGGTCGATTCGGGTAGATGGGAACCAAGAACACCACAGCGGTGTCAAGGACCTATACGGCTAGTCACATATCCCACAGCTAAGTCCTGTGTATCCAGCTATTATATAGAGTACTGCGTATCATCCCTTCACGGTGTAGCGGCCGACATGATCGCTCCTGCACACCCATGGCAGGAGCATATATATAATATATATATATATCTGTGTGTGTGTGTTCTTCGGTCTCCTTCTTCTTCGCTTGGTTGTGTTCTGGGGTTGACCGTTGACCGGTTGACTGGTTGCCTGGCAAGGGCCACAGTGAACCTGCCAGAGCAGTTACACCTCGATACCTTCCTTCTCATGAGGTACGTTAGCAAGATGTTTCCAATCTTACCACAGATCAACCTACAGTTGAGGTAACTAATCTGGGTCCCTCTGGTTTGAACAATCTGAGGCAACATGTTGCTTTCACATTCTGTGGGTCGCAGCCATACACAAACTCATTTCATAATCATTGAGGACTGACTTGTGTTTTACTGGGTCACTGACTCCAGGATGGTCACACTTGCCAATGAATTCCCAAAACGGCTCTGAAAGGCCTGCCAGGCAGAAACCAAACAGAACAACCCCAGGCACAGGTGAGTGCAGGCTGACGGTGGACCAATCAGGTGGGCCAGAGGGTGACTTTAGCCACTCAGATCGAGATCGAGCGGTCCTAGAACGTCTGAGCTACTGTAGATCTCCAATTGATTGATTGATTGATTGATTGATTGATTCTCAAAGAATTTAGGTATATTATATCAACATATATCAACTATCAATCTTCAATTACCCACTGGGATGTGGGACTGAGACACATCCAAATGATAAGCAAATGCAAATTCCAGGTGGGTGGCCCAGAAGGCCTCGATATCCTTATGTCTGGAAGGTCTAATTACCTCCGAGACAAATACAGCTTTTACAACAGGCAAAGAGAAACGCGGACTTCAACATAACTTTGAACTTGCAAGTTTCTGATTGAAAACTGTTCTTTACTCGCCATGTGATGCACTATCTCAAATGTCATGAGCTTGCTGCTTGCTCATGGTAAGCTCAAGGGTCCGCTGCTAACAGCCTCTGGGTCGTCGTCAAGGCCCACCTTAGGGGCGAGGAAAGGAAAGGAAAGGAAGTAGCACTTGTCGGAGAGTTCTCACCTCAAAGATCCTCAAAGGGATTCACAGGAAAAAGAGGTGCACAAAGTAGCCAAGCCAGCCCAACACACACCAGAACGATGATTCTTGATGATTCTTCATTACGAAGACGACGAGTTACGACTGAAAACAGTTGCGTTTATAATGCGGAGACCTCGACTCCCTAAGCAACGCAGCTCTGGCAAAAGGATTCCATGCAGACAAGAAACCAGAATAACACATTGATTGAGCCAGCCAATTCGTGCTCTCAAACATGGATTGGGCATGGTTCACAAACTGCATGGAAGCGTTCTCATTGATGCGGAAATCTGAATTCTAAATGCTTCGGCTCCTAGTCAGTCAGAACACCATCAGCACACCATAAAGAGTGGCTAGAGTCTAGAGGATTATATAAACAAACAACACAGACGCACGGTAGATGCTTGCATATTCTTACCAGCCTTACTGGGCACGAACAGTCCTGGTCTTTATCCTGTCACACATATGCATCAGCCTATCGAATCCCACAAAGTCAATCAAAGTCCATCGTTTTGACCAATTGTTTGACCGTCGCGAAGCAACCCTCCAAAGGTGATGCACTTGAGAAAACGACTCGCCGTTTGCGTCTGCCGTAGTTCTCCGTTCTCTCATCTGAGGCCATCTGCGTAGTCTGCCATGAGTGAAGCGATGAGTGTGTTCTCACGGATTCTACGGTGTCCAAGGTTCCAACGTGTTCTCTATGTTCTTCCTTCATATCTCCAATAGAGTGACATTGGAAAACCATAGAGTGACTGTACAATAATGGCTCATGCATGCTTATGCTAAAGGAGAGAACCTCCTCGTTTGAGCCCATTTTATCGGTCGTTGACGTGTCAAAGCAGCCAGCAGATCCTTCGGTTCCATCCGGTCGATGCGGGTCGATGCGGGTCGACGAGTCGCAGAGAGGTCCGCCACTGGCCCGGTGTTGGTTCTCATCGACGTTTGGTCAGAAGAAAAGCCATGCCCATCGAGGTTGCGAAAGAACTCATCTTGACACCATCCAGTTCCGACAGTCAGTTCCGCATCTGTCAAGACCATCCAGTTCCGTGTATTCCCACATGTCTACCTCAGTTTCTCGAAACGTGGCCGAACGAGATCACTTCGGGTGGTGGAAAGCAGAAATCTGAAGGGCGACCCACCAATCAAAGCGGAGAATAGCCCAGGCCTTCAAAAACCTCCACAAGCCCGACTGGAGCGCCAAGCACGAGCCAGCCACTTTTCGGTGATATGTACGAACAGATTGCCACCTCACGCGGTGTGTGCAATCTAAGATTCTCACGCCAGCCTGCAGTTAAGGAGCAAGGGCGCTTGAAGAATGCTAATTCACTTTCAACTGGTCGGCATTGTTTTGTCTCTATTCGTTCTCGGTTTCTCAAAAATAAAGTTTGGATTATCTGCTGGCTTGATGAGAGATAAGGATGGCTTCACCCCGTCTCACGGCAGCCACTGCAAACAGGACTGACGCTGTGCAAAGAGCACCTTCACAACTCGTCGGCGCCCAACTCGCAGCACTTAGAGATGCCCAATGGAATGCAAGAGATGGATCTGTCCACTTCGACCAACTAGAGCTGTCCAGATTGGGGGGGTCAAACATGGTCGGCCCGATCTGTCCATTCTCGACTGGGTCGGGCTTGGATGATTGCTTCTCTTGCTGTGCTTCTGCAGCACTGGGCGCAGCTTGCTGCGCGAAGAACGTCTCACACAAAGTGGTCCTGGAAGTCAGCATAGGGAGAACACCATTGGACCATGTTGTTGC